ATTCCTAACCTGTGGTTTGGAGGACCCCTCTTAATGTAGTCCTTTAAGTAATTTGTGGTGAGTTTCTCTTATCTTCCTTCTTCACCAAGTACCAGTAAGGAAACTGATAACCAAAATTGTCATTGCAGGTGACAGCATTATAATTAAGAGTTATAACAAAAAAGAGTACTGAAGGCCAGTTCCCGGGGTGACAGCCTCTCCACGACAACATGCCTCTCACTAAGAATCTCCTTCAGCCCTCTCTGGGAGAGAAGAGGAAAGACGAGAAGAAGCGCCTGGTGCAGATCCCCAGTTCCTACTTCATGTGTGTGACATGCCCAGGATGCTATAAAAGCACCACCGCCTTAGCCATGCCAAACGGTAGTTTTGTGTGTTGGCTGCTCCCCTGTCCTGCCAGCCTCCAGGAGGAAAAGCAGGGCTGACAGAGGAGCCTCCTTCAGAAGGAAGCAGCCCTGAAAGCACCCCGAAGCAAGATCAATGGGGAACCATCCCAATAAACACATTTTGGATACAAAATAAAGTACTTAAGGGCAAAAATGTTGCCATGCCAAGCAAGTGGCTCAAAATAATTTCTTCCCCTGATTTTACTGCATTGGAATCTCTCAGATTTTGGACATCATTGTTTTACTTTCTCACTGTGTGACCTTGGACAACTTCCTTAGCCTCTCTCGTTATGACTTATTTTTTTATTGTCACAATGGGGAATATTAATAGTACCTATTTCTTGATGGTATTATACGAATTAATCGAAGTAATGTTTGTAACACTTTTAGCACAGTGCCTGGAATATGGTGTTCCAACAGTGTTTGATAACTTAATAAATAAGGTAGCCCTTGCCCACATTGAAGTCATTCGATGTATTGATATGGTGTGGCAAAAACACAAAAAAGAACACTCAGGGAGGGAGCCTTAAGCACCGCAGGACGTTGAAGGGGCAGAAGAAATATAGTTTCTGTGAGAAAGATAAAAGAATGTGGCCCAGGCCAGGTGTGGCTCTGTGGTTAGAATGTCGGCCCTAGGTCAAGGGGCAATACCTCGGTTGCAGGCTCCATCCCCAGCCCGAGTCGGGGTGTATATGGGAGGCACCAGTCAATGTGTCTCTCTCACATTGATGTTTCTCTCTCTCTCCCCCTTCCACTCTCTCTGAAAATCAACAAAAAAATATCCTCAGGCAAGGATTAAAAAAAATAATTAAAAGATCAAAAAAGAATGTGATGGAATACTCCCATATTATTGGTGGGAATGTAAAATGACACAGCCCTTTGGAAAAGAGATTGGCAGCTCCTCAAAATGTTAAAATTACCGTATGACCCAGCAATTCCACTCCTAGGTCTATACCCCAAAGAACTGAAAGCAGGTACAGTACTCAATAAGCAAAAGGTGGGAGCAACCAAACGTCCACTAGTTTATGAGTGAACAAATGTGGTCTATCCGTACAATGGAATATTATTCAGCCATACACGGGAACAAAATGCTGGTGCATGGTATCTATCGTGCATGAACCTGGGGAACATTTTACTAAGTGAAGGAAGCCGGACACAAAAGGTCACATATCCTATGATTCTACTTACAGGGAATATCCAGAATTGGTAAATCCATAGCAGGTTGGTGGTTTTTCGGGGCTGGGGAACTGGGGAGCAACTGCTTAATGGGTAGAGGGGTTTTCTTTTCGAGTGGTAAACATGTTTTGGAACTAGAGAGTGGCAGTGGTTACACAACACTGTGAATGTACTAAATGCCACTGAATGGTTCAGTTTATAAGGGTTTATTTTATGTTTTGTAAACCTTGCATCATAAAAAAACATACATACATAAACAGGACCAGGGTGAGTGCTATCTTTGTTCTAGCTGAGAAAACAGAGCATTCCAGACTCCCTCTTCCACTCACCAGAGACCTTTTCTGAGAAAGTTATCTAATGTCCCCTCTGGGCCCTGGTTTCCTTATCTGTAAGAAAATGAAATTGGACTAGGTGATTAGGAGGATCCCTCTCATTTCAAATTCCAAGGCAAAGAAATTCAACACCCTTCTTTTCTCCGTCTCATCCACATGCTTGAAAATGACTGCATCTGTACTGCAGATGTATACTGGAAGACAATGAATGTTGTAATTAAATTACAGGGAAATTAATTTGTTTTAGTTATTAATATGAAAAGTATTTTCATATTCATTATTACAATGACACAAATTAATGGGCAAATAACTAAAACAAATGCACTTTAGCAATTAGCTTGGGGTTTGCCACTCTGACGCTTAGGCTCAGAGCCCGTGCACGGCTCCAGCCTGTCTGCACCCTCCATGTAATCACACACTGTGCTTTTTGCCAGTCGCGGTATCTCAAGCTCCTCAGCCGAGCGCAGTGCTGGCAGCCCCAAGTTGATTGGGAGGCCCTTGATTGATTAATCGGTGCCCTTGCCAAGCAGGGTGGCAAGTGATTAAGTACCCTTCCGAACTGCCTGTGCTTTGCAACCAAAATAATCTAGAACAGCTTAAGGCTATCAGTCATCAGAACTTGCTTATGGGCTACTGCTCTAAGTACAACTAGAATAGATAGAACTTTAAAATTATTGAAATGTTATTTGAATAGTAAGCCAAATTTACCAGTTCTGGGATTTAAAGTCTTGGGTCAACATGTTCATTCTGGGAGATGGGTATGTAATTTTCTGTATTTCACTCATCACTACTTGAGTCCACAGGTTGTTGAGGACGGGACATTGTGAACATCACTAATTCATAGCGTCGCCAGGAGTCAGAGCTGTCTCAACGGCGAGTAACACACACACACTTCCATTACCTGCTACTGCAGATTTCTGGTCCTTTGTAAATCCCCTCCTAATAATATCTAGGTGTCTCAGGTGTCTCTACAAAGAACCTTCACCTAGAAATATTTCAGCCATCTGAAAGGTTTATCAGTCATTTCCTCTCTTTTAAAATTCTGGATATCTACAACAGTCCCCAAAGCTGAACAAACCAGAAGTCACAGCCTACCCAGGCCCACATTAGTAGACACTTACTAGCTACTAACTGCTGGAGGTACAAGGACGTGGGCTCCTGGCATCACGGAGCAGCTGAGGGAATTTAAACAGCTCCTTGATGCTGGCCAAGACGAGCCTTTACCTTAGTTGGTGCACCTCCTGCTGGAAGGTCATACCAATGGTGCCAACTACTCACTGCCTTGGCAGAGAACCTCTCTCAATATAACTAGAAGTTCCACCAGTTTCCCATTGGCCGTTCCTCTTGAACATTCCTTCTGTCCGCGTCTTTCCACCAGGCAGCAGCAGTAGCAGCCCTTTCCTATTCTACTCTTTGTTTTTGGCCTGGACTTCATTCCATTCTTCCTTTCATAGTTCTCCCCTCAGATGCAGAGAGGAGAGGGCTATTGGAAGGAGAAGAAAAGTGAAAGAGCTGCAGGGGATTGTGTACAAAATAAACAATACCTGTAAAACCTGTACATTCTTCTGTTCAACTAAAATGAAGAGCCTGAGTGCAAACTAATGTAAAATTAAAAATATGAAAATGGCTTTTCATGCAACTCATGAATCTTTGTTTCCTGATTTTGATCTCTGGTGTCCAGTAGAAAATAAAAAAACATCCATAAAGCAGTCAGTTTACGTTTGGATAACTAAAAAATCTTCTAGGTGGTGTCTAACCCTCCCATGTAAGTGCAGCGTCCTGTGGGAAAAGTGAGATGAGAACACGGCCTATCTTTTAGGAGACACACCAAAACTGGCTCTGACACCAGCACGTGATTAATTTTGAAGGCAGGCTTTCAGAACACCGTATTTTAGTAAGCTTGAAAGATAAGTCGATGCAAACACCCAGCAAAAGCAAAATACACTATTTTCAGGGCTCAATCAGATTATGACCCAGCATTTCTTCCCTGTGCACACCCTCCTTCACTGAGTACCGAGGGTCTTGAGCTTAATAGGAGTTAGGGAAATGTTTGCTAATTTTAGTTAAAACTGGAGTCCTTTCAGGCGCTCAGTGGCTTGAACAAGCTGACCTGGGGCAAACAACAGAGGAACAGGGGGGAATAAGGGAAGGCATCAGGGAAAGCTAGAAAGAGATCACTATTTAATATACGTATCATTTGTTCCTGGGTTTATTATTTTGTTCAAAAGAATGTGGCAGTAAACTGTGCTATTAATTCCATTTATATTTGCAGAGCTGGGAGTCAGGTTTTCAAGTTCGCTCTTGGGTTTTATGCAAAACATATGCAAATCTATAGCATTCTAAAAATCCCGTCCGTTCGCCAGCTCCTCCCCTAGTCACGAACCACCACCAAGGTCTGGGGAGCGGTCGACCAGGCGGGGTGACCGGCGGGGGGAGGGGCTGCNGGACCTCAGCCTTTTCCTAGTCTGGGGGCCGCCGCCGCACCATTGGTCGCTCCGGCGGCTCCAAAAGGCGCCCTCCGACCCCTCACTGGGTCAGTCCGGTGCTGGTTCGTGGAACTT